CTGCAGTATGTGTTTATACACCTCTACTGCATTTAATCATTAGTTATTATTAATCTCTTTCGTCCTGTCCCCCTGTCCTCACCCCTCCCGGAGGCTCTGCTTGAAGTTTCTTCCTGTTAAAATAGTTTTTCCTTCCCACGATCGTCACAGGGGGGCGCTGTCAGACTGTACGGTCTGAGCACCTAAAGGGCCTTGACTTGACTGTTGTGGTGATTTGGTGCTACATAAATAAAACTGAATTGTTCTTTCAGCTGCAATGCTGTTTCACAGTCTAAGAACAAGTGAAGAAGAAAGAACAAAACTCAAATGTAGGAGCAGATTTTAAAGAAGCTCAGCAAGTACAAACACAGGACTGTGCAAGGGTCCCGAGCTGCCCCCATTTCTTTACACTTTGCTGGGAAAAATGGGAAATAGCAGTTTATTGAAACATGGAAAGATGACTGAAGTACACAATTACAGGGGAAAACAGAGTTGGTCCAAACAAACACGAGTCAATGACCGCTTCCACTGTCCAGCCTGCACTCTGTTCCCTAAGCCTTCTGTAGTCCTTAGTTGTTCAGCTGTTAGTCTTGTAGTGTTTACTCGTCCTCAGGGATGTGTTTCAGTGCTCCTTTATCTGCCTTTGGTTCTGTCGAGATGATCCCACTCTACACAATTCATGCTGGAGTCCAGGAGAGACCAGTCCATCACTGATACTCTTCCACAGCGTCTTCTATCCAGCTGTGCTTTTACTGCAGTGGTCGTGTCTTTGGGTCATTGTGCGGAGAAATGAAGCTGTTGCCAATCAGATTCCAGATGTTACTGTATAATTGATTAAGATCTGAAAGTACTTTTCTGTGTTCATCATTTCTGGGAAGAGCCCCATCACCACTGGCTGAAATACACTGTGCCAGAGCATGTTTTACAGACACCTGCAGACGCTCACTGCTGCACATCTCTCTTGACTTTGTCCATAAATATTAATCATATATATATATTATATTAATCTGGCATATCTCAGCCTTTCCTTTCCTTAACAATGGTTTATTTGAAAAGTTTCCTCCTGGCTGTGGCTCAAGGGAGAGCAGGTCATCAACTAATGGGCAGGGTTAGTGGTTTAATCCCTGCTGCTCCAGTCTGCATGTCAAATCGTGGCAACATACCAACCCGAGGGTGCTCTCTGATGTATTTTTATCTAAATAAATAAATAAATATATTCAATTTTACTTTAAAATAAAGACAGGATTTCATATTGGTTCTTTATCTCTTACATGTACAGAACACTGGTTGTCAACTAGGTGATGTTTTAAAACTTAAGACCAGTGGAAGAAAACTAGTGGAAGCAACATGTAAAGAAATGAGGGCTGGTTGAAGATGTGTGATCCTACAGTAGGCCTCCTGTAGGATCACACAGCCTATTGATGCTTATACAACAATAACAGTTTTGTAAGATTATCTGCTGTGTGAGGGAATCTGCAGGAGAATTTCTTCATCAGCAGGCTGTGTGATACAGAGCAGGGAGTAGCAGACTGCTGATGTAGCGCTGAAAAGCCAAGGTTAACCCTGAAGATAAACCCCAAACAAGCTTCATCGTGCAGGTCTCAGATAATGAGCTCTGGTCACACACACACACACACACACACACACACACTAATCCAGGCAGCATCTTCTCAGAAATCATTTGAAAACCCAAACAAACAAACTTGTTCTTTAACTATGACACTGTGCATGCTAAAGTAGCCATAAATGAAATCTGGGCAGCTGTCTGTATTGCATGCTTGATTTCATCTCTGACGTCTCCTAACAGATTCTAACAGGCAGGAGAATTTCATGCAGAGTTCTACACAGCTGTATGCTAGCATTAACCTTGTTATTAAACCAGTAGCATGACAAAAGGAAAAAGAGTGCATTTGAAGGATGCAAAGGTAACATGTTCTTATCTCCTTTTGTGTGTGTTCAGACGCTCACCCCAGAGGACACAATCTACACTCTCAGAACTGCCACGCTTCATTCCAAAGGACATTTGCAATATATATGTATATGTGGATATATGTGTGGATACATTTTAGCAAACAAAAACAAGCAAAAACATGAAAGAAAAACATGACCAAAGCAAATTCAATCCAAAAATAAAAAATAAAAAGTGAAGAAGCAGGAAGGAAAAAAGCAACAGTTTCTGAGCTGAGAAGGAAAAGATGGTAGAAGATGATTATATAAGTATCTTTTATTCTGACAAGTAATTGTGACCTGCTGAACAGATCAATCATGAATGTATACTGAGCGAAGTATCCAATGGCACAGTGACAGTTGTGTCATCCACACTACTGCTTGGCACAGTTTCTGGTGAAGACAGACCTTCAAACTAAATAATGACATGACAGTAACATTTGTTGGCTGAAGGTGTCAGTGGTTGATTAGGAAGCCTCTTCAGAGCAACAAAGGAGTGAATGTACTCAAAGTGTGCAGTGTAGAACAGAAGGAAAAAGTAACAACATCGCTCTTTGATGTTCCCTCCATGCCAAAACAGAAGAGTGAAAAGTATGCCTCGATCATGTTTTGGTGTCTTTTCTCTCTCTGCGTGTGATGAGTGCTGGTAATGGACAAACCAATACGACTATCTGTGCGTCCATTTATGCTGAGAGTAGTTTGATGTTTAAAGGCACAGAGATGGAAGGAAATCTTTGATGCTCACGCAGCCTATTTGACAAAATGACTACAAAGTGCAGCGATTTGTGTTAAACAAAAAGGCAGAAAAACAAATACTCAAGTAAACCACAGTTACTTGAGTATTCTAAGGAAGTGTTTGTACTTCGGTACTTCCCACCTCTGTGAGAAGCGCCACTCCCAAAGCAAGCCCAACTTAACGACAGCAGAAACCAACATGCTTCCAACCGGGTTCAAAAATGGTTTTGGTCTCGATTCCTGTTAATGGGAACTTTACTGATTTTTCGAGTGTAAAGTGGGCGTCACGTTGTCCAGTTCAGCATTTGTTTTTAATCAAATGAAACATCATGTAGCTACTTCCACCCACTGGTTAGGTTGAGGCACTGAAACCATCTGGTTCGATTCACCAATAAGACGATAGTTTGTTTAAAATGGGCCATCCTAACCTTTTATACTCACATAAATCCTGAAATATAAATAAATACAACCAAATTAAACCAAATTCTTTATATTTGATATAAATGTTTTCTCAGTGAACATTGAGATCTGCTCTGTGAGGGCTGAAAACCTTGTAGATTAGCAGTAAATTTAAAGTTTTTATTTACTTAGCTGTGAGTTGGCATCTTTTTATTTAAAGAGAAGGCTGTTTTAAATGTTGCTCTTTGCATGATAAAGACATGAATTAAGTTGCCTTATACCGAGAAGGATATCAAACTGCATGTTCTCCTTGTGCCTGCATTCCTGGCTTGTTCCCACAGTCCAGAAAAACACATCTTAGGTTAGCTGGCGATTCTAAATCAGTCATGAATGTACGGTAGATAAAATCAATGAGCGTAGTTCCATGTGGCGAGTTTCCCTGATCATCATGCTGGGCAAAGATAAGAAACCAAATCCACCAATCCACAGGCAGATACGCCGTGTACAAAATCAAAAGTCGTTTGTTGTGCCTCGCTTTGTAGTGGACGCTTAGTTCATGTTGCCTAGGTAACCTTCTCAATCGGTCACCATGGAGCGGAGCAACGTTTAGGAACAAACAGCAGCTTGACTCTGACTCTGGTCTCTGCCCACATGGAAAAGATATTTACAAATCTTATACAGTTTGTATCAGTCTTGTGTGAAACTTGTAAGAAAAGCACACAAGAGTAAAAACAGATATAAGATGCCTTGAAAAATTATATAATGAAACTTGTATGTTTAGGATACTAAAACAATATATGAAAGTAGTAAGAAAGTGGCCACTTTCATGAGTAAATCATAGAAGTTTTTACTATTTCTTTTCCATATGGGGAGTTACAAAGCTGTGAACCACTTCCTGTGTGGCACAGCAACACAACCAACAAAGTACACACTCCAAGAGCGTGTGACCATGTGGACGGTCACAAAGAAGCCCTCGTAGCATTAACGGCCTCGCTAACAGGCAGCAGTAGCTGCTCTCCAGCTACTGCTGCTAATAGGCAGCACTGTTCTTTTTAAAAACTGTGGGGACAACACCAGGACACGTTTGGGACAAAGGACAGGTTCTTCTTGCAGAGAGGAAAATCTGCATTCCATTATTTTCTACTTTATTTCTACTACAAATCGAGATAGCGCTAGAATCAGAGCTTTGTTGTGTTTTGGGCAAGAACAGCTGGTCATAACTGAGCAAATACAAATTCTGTTTCCATTTTTTCCTAAATATTACATTAAATGCAAAGCAATCCAGATGGAGTGTTACTGCTCACATCGTGGACTCAAACTGCACCCTCTTTGCAGGCTGACCCAAAAGCCAACAATGCAGGCATGTTGTCAAGTCTCCAAACATGCTACACCTCATCCTGTTCTTACCCCCACCCTCACACCGCTTACCCCTACATGCTCAGGCCAAAAGACTTTGCTGAAAACCAAAGTACCTGTTCTCGTTCTCGTTCTCGTTCCTGTCAGGGACAGATGACCCATTTCAGCATTGGGGAGAGAGAGGGACAAGATGTGAGGAACCACATAAGACGGCAGGAAGGAAGGAAGGAAGGAAGGAAGGAAGGAAGGAAAGAAGACAAGTTCCACATTGTGCATGCATGGGTTAGTGTAAAAACACACACAGCTGAATGGGCTGAGTTGTTCATTGACAGAAAACAGGTTCTGGAGGAGGATGAAACACATTATTAAGCACAGCATGCTGGGGTCAGACGCTCATTGCACCTCTCGAAGTTACCCTGAACACACAGTGTGAGTCAAACACAGCAGCTGTCATTCTAAGTACAATTTTAAGCAAAAGCCCAGTTAGGAACGTTATGTGGGACCATTTGTGTGATTTAATGGACCCATTTAGGACCCGGGTCATAAATGAAATTCTGATGTTAAAGTTGTGGTGATGGAAGTTACGATGCCCTGTCACACAGCTCAGTTAGAACACGTCCACTTCAGATTTAGAAAGCAGGTTAAACTTAAAACGTCTTTAGTCTAAAGGGACTGTTGGCAAATTAAGAGACAGGTTCATTGGTCATGAAGAAGAATGAGGCCACAGAGCTCAGTGGAACCTGGAAGGAGCAAAAGATGCAACTTACCACATATCCTTGACATCACACAGAAGCCTTTACACAGTACATGGTGTCGAGTTTGAATATGTTTGTGTACGCACTTCAGAGAGAAACACGGACGTGTTCAAAACTAGATGAAAGGTTTAGCGGGGTCAGGAGATCGTCTAACTCTGCTCCTTCAAAGAGTCACGCAGACCAGTCTGAATGTGCACGGTGCACACACTCCAACACACTGTGTGTGGGATGGCTTTACTGCACTTGTGTTGTTGCTGTTCCAGAAGTTTTACTCATAACTAGCTACACTTACAACCAAATTTCCTCTTGTGGGACAATTAAAGGGTTATTCTATTCTATT